TCCTTTGAAACTTTTGTGTAAGGCTTTTATTTTTGCTAGCAATGCTGACAGGCAGAACTGAGTGCGCGACTTCTACCACTCTAAGACTGTCTATGCTACAGAGCTTTTCCAGGATACCAGAGGTATCCCGGAAAAGCTATGCTGCATCCAAGGAACATGTCCGCTTTTTTGGAATAATTTCCAAAAAAGTGGATGTGTTCTTTCGCCATCCCCATAATCCCCATTGTATGAGGAAGAAGGGATGTTCCGAAAGAGGAGGTTTTTCCGAAATGTGGCCCTGTTCCCCAAAAAAACCCAGGAAAAGACTCGCAAATTGCAGTCTAGCCTAAGTGGTCTCAGTGCCACTGCATGACACAGTGAACCATACCCAGAAGATGTGTGTTACACTAGCGCTGGTTGAACTAGCACTGATAAGTCTACCTAAGATGGAAATTACACCTTGCACTCCAATCAGAAATCTCTAAGAAAACTGCTTGAAATGGGACTTCATTAATCCTAATTACCTGGTGATGGTGGAGTTGTTAGGCAGACATGCTAATGCTCACCCCTTATGTCAAGATTTTCCAAAGCAAAACCAGGTGCTCTGGGTCTCTACCTGGTTTATAACAGAGCACTTCTGTAGGGGTTTAGGATTTGCATTTCGGTGGCCCAAACCATGCTGTACCCCTGAAATTCCCCTGTTGCTTTGTTACCACGAGTTTGTTTTTTAAACCTTCTAATATAAAGACAAAGGATTTCCTGCTTAAGTTTCTGGCCCTGCTTAAGTTTTTGGGAGAGCTCTCTGTTCTTTCTGGTCTTCGTTTATCTTTAATGTTTTGTAATGACAAGGTGGCTCTGCACATCTGTCCTAGTTTTTACCAGAAGCCCTGTCCCCATTTCAGCTGACCATGATATCTCCTGTGGAGTTAGTCCCAAGAAGGGAAAAGTCTGCTGCTACCATTGGACTTGAAGAGCAGCCCTCTGATAGATCAGAAATATTCAAGAGAATGGACAGTCATTTTTTCCTTCTTTTAGGGTTCTAAGAGAGGTCTCAAGCAACCAGATTAATCACAGATAATTTGATGGGGGCAAATTCTAGGTTTACAAACCCTGAATTTCACTGGCCAGTGTAAGTTAAAGCTCAGTCAGCCAGAGCCATGGCCATCATTTGGGTTGGAGAATGGACATGTAGACAAGTTTTGTAAAGCTGTAACCTGGTGTTCCCTGTGTCCAACTGTTTTCACCATGTACAAATTATTCAGGTGTTGTGGACTGCATCCCTCGGTTGCAGTGAATTTAGATCAGGGCTTCCCTAAGAAGAAAGTTTCTTGGGGAGTAGCTGAAGGGATTGGAGGATTCTGCTTTTCTCCAGCTCCTTTGCCTTCAATATTCTTCTTAAAGTTGAGCCTGGAATTTCTTGTTCTCTTTGCTCAGTGTAGGTTCTCTTTTTAGTGCTTTCTACAATCTAGTGTGTGTCTGTCAGACTGATGTACAGCAACTCATGTTACTGTTTGCTGATTAATTTGCTTTCTGTGGCCTAGTTGAGACAGGGCCACCACCTTCCTTTTTTACCAGGCTCAGAGAGGTAGAATGGGCAGTTGGCAAGAATCACTTCTGAAAAGTGGAACAGGGAGCACCTGACCTGACACATCCTTGCTTGCCTAGCATATCAGGGCAAGTGAGGAGGAGAAACCAAACTGAGCACAAAAAGCAAATTAGCTGGCAAGTGGGAATGTAACACTTACCCGGTAGTCCAGATCACTTCAGATGGTGTTTGTCTAACTGGTTTGGACAAATGTGAATATTCAGAGGAAACTTGACCAGAAACCCAAACTGTATCCAGGCTACTGTTAGTTTCTCCGTTAACGTGTGCTTCTGGGTGAATACAAGCATTCTTACTTTGATCTTTCAGAATAGCTTTCTGGCTTTGCTTCTCTTTGTCTGAGTTAGATACTCTTTTAGGAATGAGATCTAAGAATGCTAAGAAAAGAACAAGTGTTCTGCTTGTGTGGCAGCCTTGTCAATAATGCTTCTATGCCAGACTAGTGGCTGCTTGTCTTTTTTTAAACACCTCCTGCTTTTCCAGATCCCAATTGTGAGGTAACGAAAGATTTTTTACATGCTAAAATGTCTGACTGGGTAGGCCCTTATGACCTCTCCACAATAACTTATTTCAGCAATGTGGTTCTCCTGTTTTTGCACCCACATGTGGCATCCCTATTAGCTAAATCTCCATCATATTTTGATCATTATTCTGGGCCTCTGCATGCCACTCACTTATCCCCCATGCTGTATGCAAGATGGATTTAACTGAACCCAATTTATGACCGTCAATATGTTGTGCCCAGAATATTACTGAACGAACAACTTTTTTTATCCTTCCACCCATCCCAGCAGTCATTTTAAGATTGGAGGAAAAGAAAATGGACACATGGCTGCCTCTTGTAGGCCTAAAACTAGCTGCTCATGTGACATTGATTTCACCTTCAAAACTACTTATTGCATGCCTTAAAAATTCCTGGCTGAGAACTTTCAGATACTCCTTTAGATAGAGCTATAGCCAGTCAGCTGGATAATCGAGGAAGCAGTGTTATCTTCCAAGATCTAGGGAAGTGTATGTATATCCTTCTGAAATTTTTTTAGCAATTACTCTGTACCCAGTAAGGTGTGATGTGTGCACCACACTGTTGCTGAGGAGACTAGGTCCAGCATTGTGGAAGAATGCCCTGTTAAGATTGTGGGGTGGGAGAAAACAGTGTTGTCATACGTTACATGAGATACAACTTTCACACAGTTCTGTACTGTTGACATCCTTTCCAATTTCTCTTTGGGAAGATCTGGAATTGGAATGGGAATGGTGTGTCATTACTGAGCTACTTTGGGGGAGGAGGGAGAGAGGGTTGCCAGGTGTCTGGTTTTGAACTGGACAGTCCAGTATTTGAGCTTTCTGTTTGGGAAACAAATTGAGAAAAATCTAAATGAGAAAATATAAATGTCTGGCATTTTCTAAATAAGATGTAATGTAGATTGTGATGTAATGTTAAGTGTGTCTGGTATTTTTGTTGA